ATGGGTTTAAAAATTTTAAAATGTTTTTAATTTTAATTTTATGTTAGTATTTAGGAAAGTTTAAAAGAGGAATTTAAAAGAAAATAATTGTTTAAGGGAAAAGGAATTTTTTTTGTTGGTGGGGAGTAAAGGAAATTTGGGGTTTTGGTAAAAGTTTAAAAAAGTAATAATATGTTGTAATAGGGATATAAAAGTTGTAATATGTTAATATTTATTAAATGTTTAAATGTTAATATGTTGTAATATGTTAATAAAGGGTTTTAATTGTTAAATAGTTGTTTAATTTTTTAATTTTGTTTAAATTTTAAAAATGTATATTTTTTTTGGTAAATATGTTTTAATATGTTGTAATATGTTATATGTTGTAAGGAAAAGTTGTACTAGGGATATATTTTAATAATATTTAATATGTTTTAAATGTTAAAATAAAAGGGTTTTAATTTTTTGTATTTTTAAATATATTTTAAAGGGGAAAATTAAAAATTTTTAATATGTTGTTGTAATAGTTTAATATGTTTTAATAAATTTTTGGAAATTGTTTGGTTTTAAAATTTTTAAATGTTGAATAAAGTTTAATATGTAAAAATATGTTGGGAATTTTTTAATATAAATTTTGTAATATTTGGGATAAAAAGGGTTTAATATGGTTGTAAATGTTTAAAGGGTTTTAATATGTATAATTTTTAAAAATTTTAAATATGTTGTAATTGTTGTAATTGTTGTAAAATGGTTTTAATTGTTTTTTAAAAAATGTTAATGTATTTAATATGTTTTAATATGTTGTAATATTTTTTTAATATGTTTTAATTAAAAAGTTAATATGTTAATATGTTTAATATGTTTTTAAATGTGGGAATTGTTGTAAAGTATAATATGTTGTAAATGGGTTTAAAAGGTAATATGTTGAATATGTATTAAAAATGTATATAATTTTGGTTTTAAATGTGGTAATTGGTATTAATATGTTGTAATATGTTGTTTAAAATGTAATAATATGTTTTAATATGTTTTAATATTTTTAATATGGGAAATTTTAAAATGTTTAATATGTTGTAAAATGTTGGGAATTTTGTATTTAAAATTTGTAAAATTAAAATGTTTTTAAAATTGGGAATAAAAGTTTTTAATATGGGTAAACTTTTAATTTTGGGTTTAAATTTATAAAGGTTGGAAATTAATTTAAATTTTTTTAAATGGGTTTTTAATATGGTGGGGGAGAAAATTTGGTTTGGAAAATTAAATAATATGGGTAAATATGTTGTAAAATGTATATAATATTTTTAAAATTTTTATGTTTTTTGTTTTATTTTAAAATTTTTTAATTGTTTTAAAAATTTTGGGGAAAATTTTGAATATTTTATATATAAAAGGGATATAAGGAAAAATTGGTAAATGTTGGGAATATGTTGTAAAATTGAAAAATTTTTGTAAATTTGTAAAATAAAAATTTTTGTAATATGTTTACGGGGAATATGGTTTAATATGTTAAAATTTTAAAATGTTTAATTTTGGTTAAAAGTTGTAATATGTTGTTAAAAATTTTAATTTTTAATTTGGTAATTTTGGGTTTATTGAACGTTAAAGGAAATAAAGGGGTTTTGCCCGGTTTAAAGGGAAATGGAATTTTTTAAAGTTGGCTAGGGGTTTAAAAGGATTTTGGGTTAAAATTTTTTAATAAAGGAAATGGGTTTAAAATTTTGTAAAAGTTTTAATATTTTGGTAATATGTTTTAATATGTTTTAATATGTTGTTTAAAAGGTTTAAAATGTTGAAATGGGGTTTTTGAAAAAGTAATAATATGGGTTTTAATATTTTAAAATAATATGTTTTGTTTAAAATTTTTAAATATGTATAATATGTATAATAGGTATATAAATAAAAGGTTTTTTATGAAAAAATTTGTAATAAGGGTTTGGTAAAAATGTTGGGAAATAAAAGTTTTTAATAGTATAAAATGTTGTAATATGTTTAATATGTTTTTAATAGGGATATAATATGTTTGGAAAATGTATAATTATTTAATATGTATATAATGGTTTTTGAATAGGTTTTAATAGGGTTTTTAATTTTGTTTAATATGTTGTAATTTTGGGTGTATTTTAATATGGTAATAGGTATTAAAAATGATATAAAATTTTTTAATATGTTAATATGTTTAATATGTAATAATATGGTAATATGTTTAAATTAAAAGTTGTAATATGGATATAATATTTATAAAAATTTTTGTTTGTAATAGTTGTAAATGTTGTAAAATGTTTAAAGTTTTTAAAATTTTTTAATTTTGTTGTAAATTTTAAAATTTAATAGTATTAATAGTTGTAATAGTTTAAATTTTTTTTTAATTTTGTCTTGAATATTTGGGGGTTAAAGTTGGGGAATGTGGTTTAATTGGAATTTTTTAATATGGGGGGATTAAAAGGTTTGGGTTTTTGGAAAAGTTTAATAAGTATGGGGAAATTGTTTTAAATGTTTTAAAGGGTTTTAAATTGGGAAAGGAAAAATGTTGTAAATTAAAAGTTGTAAATGGATATAAATGTTGTTTTTAAAAGGTAAAATTATAATTTTATTTAATATGTATATAATATGTTGTAATATGTTGTAATATGTTGTAATATGTATAATATGTTGTAATATGTATAATTTTTGTAAAGGATATAATTGTTTTTAATATTTAATATGTTTAATATGTTTTTTAAAAATGGGGAATATGTTTGGTTTTAAAATGTTTAAAAATGTTGGTAATATGTTTAATTGTTTAATATGTTGTTAATATGTTAAAAATATGTATTTAATATGTTTTAATATTTTTTGTAATATGGGGTAATATTTGTAATATGTTTAATATGTTTAATATGTTGTAATATGTTTATGTTAATATGTGGGAATATGTTTTAATAGTTGTTTTTTTAATATGTTAAAAGGTTTTAATTTTGTAAATGTAAATTAAAGTATAAATTGTTGTAATATTTTGGTTAATATTTTATTTTTAATTTTAATAAATTTGGAAAGTTGAAAGGAAGATTAAAGAATTTTAAAATTTAATTTGTTAAAAAGTTTTAATATGTGGGGAAAATTTTTTTAAGGGTTTGGGTTTTGGAAAGGGTTTTTTTTTTTTTAATAAGTATAGAATATGTTGTAAAAGGGTTTTAAATGTTGTAATTTGGGAATATTTTTTATTTTAAACTGTTTTAAAAATTTTATTTTAAATATGTTGTAACAGGTATTCGGGAAAGGAATAAGATAATGTGGGTTTTTGGGGAAAATTTAAAATAGGGTTTATGGTTTTTGATAATTTTTGGGGGGTTTAATATGGTTTTTGGTTTAATATGGGTTGTTTAATTTTGTTGGGTTTTGTTGGTTAAAGGGGGTAAAGAAATTTTTTTTGGGTAATAGTTTAAATTAATTATTGGGAAATAATAAAGTTTGGTTAAAATTCCTAAAATGTTTGTAATTTGTATTTTTGTTTTCCCCCTTTTTTTTATATAATATTTTGTAATTTGTAAAAACTTTAATATAAATATATTTAATTTTGGGAAAATTTTGTAATTAGGGGTTTTTTGTTTTTATGTTTTTTTATGGGTTTTAAATTTAATATTTAAATATTTTGTAAAAAATTGGAAAATTTTTTTATTTTTTAATTTTGTGGTTTAATATTTTTGTTAATATTTGAATAATGGGCAAAGGGGGAAGGAAAACCCCCCCCCCCCTTTTGGGAAATTTTGTAAAAAATAAAAGGAATTTTTAAAAAAAATTATTAATATTTTGTTTTGAAAATGGCAGAGTTTTAAAGTTGTAAAATTTAAATGTTTGGGAAAGGAAAATTTTTTTAATAAATTTTAAAAATTTTAAAAATTTCTAATTTTGAATTGTTTTTGTTTAAAATATGTTGGAAAATTGGGGTAAAAAATTTTAATATTTTTTAATTGATTGGGGGGGGGGGTTTTATTTTGGTTTAAAAGAAAAGTAAAATTTTTTTTAAAAAGTTTTTAAAAAATGTTTTTAATTTGGGGAAAGGAAAGTTTTTTTTTTTCCCTTTACCCTTCCCTTTTTTTTAAAGGGAAAGGCTCAAATTTGGTTGGTTTTTTAAAAATTAAGGTTTTTTATGGTTCGAGAACCCCAGTCCCCGTGGGTTTAAAAAAATATTTTTATTTTGGGGGTTTAAAAAATTTTGTTTTTTTTATCAATTAGTATATTTGAGTTTAACCACAAATATTTGTTGCATTATTTGTTCTGTCGTTTCTGGAGGATTAAAATGAAATTGCAACCAACTTCTATGGCTTGTTTTAGGAATAGTGATATTTGGGAGATTATTTCCTTTTCAATAACTGAAAGTGAGAGGTTGTTATCTGAATAAAGGGAAAAAGGCCATTCTTGAACATGGGGTGAGAATCTTACTAATTTGCTAGAGAACCAGTTTGGATTTAAGTATAACATTTGTATGACTGAAGCTTTCAGTGATAGGTCTAATGCTTTAGATTAGAGGTTGTAATGTATGGTTAGTTTAGATTAGAGGTTGTAATGTATGGTTAGTTTAGATTAGAGGTTGTAATGTATGGTTAGTTTAAATTAGAGGTTGTAATGTATGGTTAGTTTAGATTAGAGGTTGTAATGTATGGTTAGTTTAGATTAGAGGTTGTAATGTATGGTTAGTTTAGATTAGAGGTTGTAATGTATGGTTAGTTTAGATTAGAGGTTGTAATGTATGGTTAGTTTAGAAGTTGTAATGTATGGTTAGTTTAGATTAGAGGTTGTAATGTATGGTTAGTTTAGATTAGAGGTTGTAATGTATGGTTAGATTAGATTAGAGGTTGTAATGTATGGTTAGTTTAGATTAGAGGTAGTAATGTATGGTTAGTTTAGATTAGAGGTTGTAATGTATGGTTAGTTTAGATTAGAGGTTGTAATGTATGGTTAGTTTAGATTAGAGGTTGTAATGTATGGTTAGTTTAGATTAGAGGTTGTAATGTATGGTTAGTTTAGATGAAAGGTTGTCATGGTTACTTGATATAGGCCTCTGTGCTGCTGGGGCCTTTGAGCTGGTCTTCCATCAGGTAGGTGTTGTGGGAGGAGCTGATAAAGTAGTGGTTGATTGGCTGGCTCATATCCTGGAACACCTCCTTGTGGGCGGGGTTGAAGATAGACCCCTCCTCCTGCTGCAGGTACATCAGGAAGCCATCTTTGGTCATGTGATTAATTTGCTTTGCTGTAGAACAGAAGGCGGGTGGGGGGGGGGACAACGACGCGTTACACAAGGGGACAGAATGAATTAGGGGATTGGGGATAGACTGGCCTTGTGGAATGGGTCTCCCAGATATATATCATTTAGCTTATAAAGGAAAAGTGCTACAGAAATATAAAAAGTTAGACTATTTTAGCCCATTCCTAGAACACCATTAAACGGCATCATCCAATACTGCATCCTGAAGGATATGCTTCCTGATACAGTGACTTCATGTTTGTGTGAACTGAGCATCTCTCACCTGAGTCATCCAGCTCATATTGAGTCAGTACTAGAGCATATCTCACCTGAGTCATCCAGCTCATATTGAGTCAGTACCAGAGCATCTCTCCTCACCTGAGTCATCCAGCTCATATGGAGTCAGTACTAGAACATCTCTCACCTGAGTCATCCAGCTCATATTGAGTCAGTGCCAGAGCATCTCTCACCTGAGTCATCCAGCTCATATTGAGTCAGTACTAGAGCATCTCTCACCTGAGTCATCCAGCTCATATTGAGTCAGTACCACAGCATCTCTCCTCACCTGAGTCATCCAGCTCATATTGAGTCAGTACCACAGCATCTCTCCTCACCTGAGTCATCCAGCTCATATTGAGTCAGTACTAGAACATCTGTCCTCACCTGAGTCATCCAGCTCATATTGAGTCAGTGCCAGAGCATCTCTCACCTGAGTCATCCAGCTCATATTGAGTCAGTGCCAGAGCATCTCTCACCTGAGTCATCCAGCTCATATTGAGTCAGTACTAGAGCATCTCTCACCTGAGTCATCCAGCTCATATTGACTCAGTACTAGAGCATATCTTACCTGAGTCATCCAGCTCATATTGAGTCAGTACTAGAGCATCTCTCACCTGAGTCATCCAGCTCATATTGAGTCAGTGCCAGAGTATCTAATCATCCCCAGCTTCCAATTGGCACATTCATCCCCCCTCTCTCCCCTGTAACTATTCCCAGGTTGTTGCTGTAAATGAGAATGTGTTCTCAGTCAACTTAGCTGGTACAATAAGGGTAAAATTGAAAAAAACAGAGCATCTCTCACCCGAGTCGTCCAGCTCGTATTTCTCTATGAGTCTGACAGCGTCCTCCAAGGTGGCCGACTCACGCTGCTCGTTCAGCAGGAAGTTGAGCAGATCCTTGATGCTCATCTGCCCCCCCGTGGAGGCGTACTTCCTGTAGATCACATCGATCTCCTCCCGGTGCGTCAACAGGTCATAGAACTGTTTGATCTCAGCACCCTCCAGGGTGCCCGAGTTTGACGTGTCACATTTCTACAGGACAAGATCATTTACAAAACAGTACTTTACTAACAACATACGTTGACTTCCTCCTCAGACTACAGAAAATGCTTTGAGACCTGGTGGAATCTTAAATGAAACTGATATGCATTCAGGAACATAACAGACCTGCATTAAGAGCTATCATGTATGTACAGGTGTAAGCTTCTATCACAACATCCTTGTAAGTCATTAGCAACCTCATTGTAAGTCATTCACGACCTCATTGTAAGTCATTCACGACCTCATTGTAAGTCATTAACAACCTCATTGTAAGTCATTCACGACCTCATTGTAAGTCATTCACGACCTCATTGTAAGTCATTCACGACCTCATTGTAAGTCATTAACAACCTCATTGTAAGTCATTCACGACCTCATTGTAAGTCATTCACGACCTCATTGTAAGTCATTTACGACCTCATTGTAAGTCATTCACGACCTCGTAAGTCATTAAAAACCTTGCTGTAAGCCATTGATAACCTCATTGTAAATCATTAACAACCCTGCGTAAGTCATTAACGACCTCAGTGTTATTCATTAACAACCTCAATGTAAGTTATTCATTACATATTTGTAAGTCATTAACAACCTCATTGTAAATCATTAACAACCTCATTGTAAGTCAATGACCAACAGATATCCACTCACGGCAAACAGCATATTAGCGTAGGTCTCGTCCACCTCGATGTTTATCTGGCGGAGGAAATGTTTCAGCTCCTTCAGATTCATCATGTTGTCCTTGTTCTTGTCTGCTTTCCTCATACAGTTGAAGATCCAGCTTTAATACCTCCAGATGGAAGGATCAAACACTGAACAGAGATTAACATTTGACCTAAACACATTGTAGATGGGAATCCACTTTACTGTATAGGCTGAACAAATAGCTAAACAACGTATTAGTTGTGATTTGCATAGCAAGCAGATTCACAAAAGAGGATACTGTTCGCTCGTCTGCTGGCGGTTGAGTTTCCTCCGGTTGGAGGTGATCTTCTCCAGACCATTGACCCACTGCCTAGCCTCTTCCACCGAGGCAGCCACCAGGTCCAGGGTCCTCCTGCGGCCCTTAAAGATGATGGAGAAACAGCGGTCCTCCACGTGGGCCTCCGTGTGCTTCTGAAGACCCTCCGACTGACGGCCCTTACGCACCGAGTCTATCTCATCAATGGAAACTGAAGGGGGAGACAAGAGGGGGAGTACATCAAGAGGGGGAGAAGAGGGGGAGTACATCAAGAGGGGGAGACGAGAGGGGGAGACGAGAGGGGGAGTACATCTTATTTTCTATTTATCAGACGCTCTTATCCAGAGCCACTCACAAGAGCAATTAGGGTTAAGTGCCTTGCTCAAGGGCACATCGACAGATTTTTCACCTCGTCGGCTCGGGGATTCAAACCTTTTGGTTACTGGAGCAATGCTCTAACCGCTAGGCTATCTGCCGCCCTAGTGAGTGAGTTTTGGGTTAGGGTTATCCAGCTCATAACTCACCCTAGTGAGTGAGGTTTGGCAGCTGAGATTTGATAGTTCCTTGGTTAAAACAAAAAGAGCCTCAAGGTCCAAGCTAGAGAAACCATATGATGACATCACCAGGGCCTGGCCCAATCATGTCTTTATCACATCTACCCCAGACAGAAACATATAGGACAGGGTGGGTTTGACAGGACAGGACAGGGGGATAGAGGAGGGCAGACAGGGGGTCAGGCCCTCTTTGACCGATCTATCTACAGGAAACCTCTGTGTCTCAGTGTGACGGTGGACTTCTTGGGCTTTCAGCCACTCACAGCACCCAACAGTGCAAAAGATAAAAACTCACACAACCCCACAGCAGATAAAAACATGTCTGTCTATCTAGTGCGTCCATGTCCCCTATCTATCTACACACTTCCTTCCTTAAAGGTCTCTAGTTTCTGTGAGAAGCAGCTCCTTCCTACACACCTTACTCCCTGGTATCTACTGGAGGAGGCTTCCAGGACCAACAGGCCTAGCCCCTGGTATCTACTGGAGGAGGCTTCCAGGACCAACAGGCCTAGTCCCTGGTAACTACTGGAGGACGCTTATATGACCAACAGGCCTAGTCCCTGGTATCTACTGGAGGAGGCTTATAGGACCAACAGGCTTAGTCCCTGGTATCTACTGGAGGAGGCTTCCAGGACCAACAGGCCTAGTCCCTGGTATCAACTGGAGGACACTTATAGGACCAACAGGCCTAATCCCTGGTATCTACTGGAGGAGGCTTATAGGACCAACAGGCCTAGTCCCTGGTATCTACTGGAGGAGGCTTATTGGACCAACAGGCCTAGTCCCTGGTATCTACTGGAGGCTTCCAGGACCAACATGCCTAGTCCCTGGTATCTACTGGAGGAGGCTTCCAGGACCAACAGGCCTAGTCCCTGGTATCTACTGGAGGAGGCTTCCAGGACCAACAGGCCTAGTCCCTGGTATCTACTGGAGGAGGCTTCCAGGACCAACAGGCCTAGTCCCTGGTATCTACTGGAGGACGCTTATAGGACCAACAGGCCTAGTCCCTGGTATCTACTGGAGGAGGCTTATAGGACCAACAGGCCTAGTCCCTGGTATCTACTGGAGGAGGCTTATCGGACCAACAGGCCTAGTCCCTGGTATCTACTGGAGGAGGCTTATTGGACCAACAGGCCTAGTCCCTGGTATCTACTGGAGGCTTACAGGACCAACAGGCCTAGTCCCTGGTATCTACTGGAGGAGGCTTCCAGGACCAACAGGCCTAGTCCCTGGTATCTACTGGAGGACGCTTATAGGACCAACAGGCCTAGTCCCTGGTATCTACTGGAGGAGGCTTATAGGACCAACAGGCCTAGTCCCTGGTATCTACTGGAGGAGGCTTATCGGACCAACAGGCCTAGTCCCTGGTATCTACTGGAGGAGGCTTATTGGACCAACAGGCCTAGTCCCTGGTATCTACTGGAGGCTTCCAGGACCAACAGGCCTAGTCCCTGGTATCTACTGGAGGAGGCTTCCAGGACCAACAGGCCTAGCCCCTGGTATCTACTGGAGGAGGCTTCCAGGACCAACAGGCCTAGTCCCTGGTATCTACTGGAGGAGGCTTCCAGGACCAACAGGCCTAGTCCCTGGTATCTACTGGAGGAGGCTTATAGGACCAACAGGCCTAGTCCCTGGTATCTACTGGAGGAGGGTTCCAGGACCAACAGGCCTAGCCCCTGGTATCTACTGGAGGAGGCTTATATGACCAACAGGCCTAGTCCCTGGTATCTACTGGAGGAGGCTTCCAGGACCAACAGGCCTAGTCCCTGGTATCTACTGGAGGAGGCTTCCAGGACCAACAGGCCTTGTCACTGGTATCTACTGGAGGACGCTTATATGACCAACAGGCCTAGTCCCTGGTATCTACTGGAGGAGGCTTCCAGGACCAACAGGCCTAGTCCCTGGTATCTACTGGAGGAGGCTTCCAGGACCAACAGGCCTAGTCCCTGGTATCTACTGGAGGAGGCTTATAGGACCAACAGGCCTAGTCCCTGGTATCTACTGGAGGAGGCTTCCAGGACCAACAGGCCTAGTCCCTGGTATCTACTGGAGGAGGCCTCAAGGACCAACAGGCCTAGCCCCTGGTATCTACTGGAGGAGGCTTCCAGGACCAACAGGCCTAGTCCCTGGTATCTACTGGAGGAGGCCTCAAGGACCAACAGGCCTAGCCCCTGGTATCTACTGGAGGAGGCCTCAAGGACCAACAGGCCTAGTCCCTGGTATCTACTGGAGGAGGCTTATAGGACCAACAGGCCTAGTCCCTGGTATCTACTGGAGGAGGCTTCCAGGTCCAACAGGCCTAGTCCCTGGTATCTACTGGAGGAGGCTTCCAGGACCAACAGGCCTAGTCCCTGGTATCTACTGGAGGAGGCCTCCAGGACCAACAGGCCTAGCCCCTGGTATCTACTGGAGGAGGCCTCAAGGACCAACAGGCCTAGTCCCTGGTATCTACTGGAGGAGGCTTATAGGACCAACAGGCCTAGTCCCTGGTATCTACTGGAGGAGGCTTCCAGGACCAACAGGCCTAGTCCCTGGTATCTACTGGAGGAGGCTTCCAGGACCAACAGGCCTTGTCACTGGTATCTACTGGAGGACGCTTCCAGGACCAACAGGCCTAGCCCCTGGTATCTACTGGAGGAGGCTTCCAGGACCAACAGGCCTAGTCCCTGGTATCTACTAGAGGAGGCTTCCAGGACCAACAGGCCTAGTCCCTGGTATCTACTAGAGGAGGCTTCCAGGACCAACAGGCCTAGTCCCTGGTATCTACTGGAGGAGGCTTATAGGACCAACAGGCCTAGTCCCTGGTATCTACTGTACTCTACACTATTTGACTGTTGTTTACTAAATACTTGATTTGGCCAACCAGACACATTCCATGGATTTTTGGTTTGCGTAATACTGTGGTTAACAGAACACTTCGAAGCCAGCGTGACCTCCCTTGACTCCCTTGCTGCACAGTTGGAATCTCTGAGGTTGCTCTGAACTATGAATAGGGCTTGTATACAGTGTGCCTTGTTAATATGCATTTACATGGTGTTTTTCACTCTGTCAAATCAAATCGAAGTTTATTGGTTGCGTACACAGATTTGTAGATGTTATCGCAGGTGCACCAAAATACTTGTGTTTCTAGCTCCAACAGTGCAGTAATACCTAACAGTAAAAAATAAAAACACATAATACAGAAATATAAACTAATAAGTAATATAGGATGAACCATGACTAGAATAAAGTGCATTCAGAAAATATTCACACCCCTTGACTTTTTCAGAATTTTTTTACGTTACAGCCTTATTATAACATTTATTTAAAACGTTTTTTTCTTATCAATCTACACACAATACCCTATAATGACAAAGCAAAAACAGGTTTTTAGAAATGTTTGCAAATGTATAAAAAATTTAAAACTGAAATAATACATTTACATAATTATTCTGACCATTTACTCAGTACTTTGTTGAAGCACCTTTGGCAGCGATTACAGCTTAGAGTCTTCTTGGGTATGACGCTACAAGCTTGGCACACCTGTAATTGGGGAGTTTCTCCCATTTTTCTCTGCAGATCCTCTCAAGTTCTGTCAGGTTGGATGGGGAGAGTCGCTGCACAGCTATTTTCAGGTCTCCAGAGATGTTCGATCGGGTTCAAGTCCGGGCTCTGGCTGGGCCACTCAAGGACATTCAGAGACTTGTCCCGAAGCCACTCCTGCATTGTCTTGGCTGTGTGCTTTGGGTCGTTGTCCTGTTGGAAGGTGAACCTTCACCCCAGTCTGAGGTCCTGAGCGCTCTGGAGCAGGTTTTCATCAAGGATCTCTCTGTACTTTGCTCCGTTCATCTTTCCCTCGATCCTGACTAGTCTCCCAGTCCCTGCCGCTGAAAAACATCCCCACAGCATGATGCTGGCACCACCAAAGTGTTTGCAAAGATTTCTAAAAACCTGTTTTTGCTTTGTCATTATGGGGTATTGGGTCATTATGGGGTATTGGGTCATTATGGGGTATTGGGTCATTATGGGGTATTGGGTCATTATGGGGTATTGGGTCATTATGGGGTATTGGGTCATTATGGGGTATTGGGTCATTATGGGGTATTGGGTCACTATGGGGTATTGGGTCATTATGGGGTATTGGGTCATTATGGGGTATTGGGTCATTATGGGGTATTGGGTCATTATGGGGTATTGGGTCATTATGGGGTATTGAGTCATTCTGGGGTATTGGGTCATTATGGGGTATTGTGTGCAGATTGATGAGGATT